TCCTGTTGTTGTACAGACTTTTCTACTCGCTGTGCGTCTTCAGAAGCAGAAGTCGTGCAGAGTCGGTCCTTCACCTGAGCAGGTGGACGCTTCGTCTTGTGGGTTTCTCGTAGAAGAAACCAGATTTATTTGTCCTCTTGTCAGTGGCTCCTTGTTTTTTTTCTATATCGTTGTTTGACAATGTACCAGCGACCTGCAGAGAATTAAACGTCAATCTGCCCTTTGTGTCGTCGTCATGGTGGTGGTTGTTGTTGTTGTTGTTGTTGCGCTGATCCTGAGTCCGTTTCAGAGCTTCTCAGAGCTTCTCAGAGCGACGGTGGGACTCTGGCAGAGAGTCGAGCATCTGAACAACAACCCTGTGAGTCAGAGGGCGAGAAGCCTGCAGGGAGCATGAGCTCAGCCCGACCACAGAGCTGTTTACTTCTGCTTTCAACTTCAATTTTGTTCATTTCAAAACACTCTGAGGGGCTTTCTTTGGGGCGAATACACAGAATTTTCGGTGCATGTGTTCGTTTACCTCCACTGTCAGCAGGAAACTTGAATTTCAGGAGCCGAAGCTGCATCTGTTGAAGTCCAGAACCCACCTGCAGGAAGGTAACGCTGCGTTTCTGTCAACCTCAAGCACATGTTTTAAACATTTGTGGCCTAAAATGATGCAAACCTGAGGCTGGACGTGAGCTGTTGAACTGGTTTTGGGTCTTTTACAAACTTTAAAGGCACAAAGTCGTCAATATTTAGCAAGAAAAAGGCGAAAAAACAGCTTCTGCTCTGAATCTTTACGTCCAGTTTGGACTTAGTTTGTTAACTTTTTTTAGATCAAACTGTTTTTTTCATTATGTTTTGAAATGTAAAAGAGTATTTAAAGTACATGTAGCACAGCTTTACTAACTGCAGTGTTTTGGGAGGAGTGATGTTCTGCAGGATGAAGCTGACGGACGACGACGTGAGCCGAAGAACTTCAGGAACAAGCTGCAGGTAAAAACATCTTTTTTTCTTAACGCTGTGAATTCACTGTAAACATCTGGAGACTCTTAACAACAATAACAAGAGTTAAAATCATTAGAAATGCTAAACAGACAGCCACATTTCGTTGAACTGTCTTTAAACAGACTAGTTTATTTACACGTTGGCACCAGAAGAATCCAAATACTGAATAAATCCTTTTCTAAAACCATAAAGAGAAATGAGCTTTCTTTAAAGAAAATACACTTTGAACAAATCCTGACCTTTTTTTCTGTCTTGAAAACTCCTTTTAGTCCATCAGAGACACTTTAATATCCTGAAAACATCAAGAAATAAAACAGAAAACAGAAACTATTTAATGATTAAAGCTGATTAGTTGATCTGAATACGTTTCAATCATCAAGTTGGTGCCATAAAAAAAAAAAAAACAGTTAACGAGAGAAAACAGTCGAGAAAAGTTCCATCAAAACCAGTTTGTGTTTATTTCCAAACAATCTGGACACCATCAGAACCAGCCGTCATTCTTAAACTTCACTGCATCTCCGTGAAAGAAGCTCAGACAGCAGCAGCAGCAGCGTCATGGACTCAGACAGCAGCAGCAGCAGAGCTCAGGACCGGCCGCAGGAACCCAGGAAACAAACTGCTGCCAAAGTAAGAGCACGGCTTTGTTCTTCCTGCATGAGTCTGAATCTCAACCAGTTTTTCAGGGTCACAGATTTTCCAGATCCTGAGCTGATCGTCTGCTGCTGGCGTCCGTGAGGCTGCTGCAGCGCGTCCAAGAGCTCAAGACACATTCAGTCGCGTTTCCTTGTGTTCAAGACATTTACAATCTGCGTGAGTCTGAAAAAAAAGGGAGTGATGTGGACGATGGAAGCTGTGAAGAGCCGCCGGTCAAAGGAAAAGTCCACCTGCAGGGGGTCAGCTTCTGATTCACCTCCAAACAACTCATCTGGTTTATGTTAGGGAGTGAACTTCCTGCAGTTCCCTGTTAGCTGGGAGACTGGCTGGATTAAAATCAGATGAAACGGTATTTTGTGGTGTAAAAACCATCATGGATGAGCTTCTCAATCAATCTGTTGAATATTTACGTGTGTTTTGTCCAAAACAACAACAAAAAAGTTGTTTTCTTTCTTTAAAAACTGCTCAAATCAGTAATTAAAATAGTTTGCCGGTAGTTTCGTAGCTCCAGTGTGACCTCAGCTATGTGTAATTAGCAGGAAAAACTCCCATCAAACTACAAACAGGCTGAAATCAGAAGCACCAGCTGACTTTTTTAACCCTTCCTGCTCCTTAAGGTGGACTTTGGCTTTAAGGCGGCTGCACAGCTTCTCTCTGCACAGCGGTTTATCAGGTCTAGTCTTCGTCAAAGTGTCTTCATCGGTTTTACGTGTTTACGGTCAGATTAAATACGTCTGTTTGGGACGACGGGTCCGTCCAGGACGCCCGCTAACATTTTAGGTTTTCTAGGTCTGCTGATTATTTCAAGCAAGCGATTATTTATATTCCAATAATAACATCTGTATTTATGTACACGTCAGCGTCTCTCATCCTCCCACAATAAACTCTCAAACATCAGAGCTGCCTACACACCAACGGTAGGCCAGCAAAATTAGTAAAATATATCAAAACGAGTGAAACATCTAAGAAAAGGAGTTAACATGAACATTCATTGTAATAATAATATCAATAGGATTTAAATAAAACCAGAGACAGCTTCAGGAGCAGCTCCAGCTCAACCTGTGGACTTCAGTCTCCCAAATTTTGTGCTCGTTTGTGCTCGTTCATACTTTGTTTCGTTTAAAAAGCAGAAAATGTAAACACCGTTTGGTTGCCATGACAGCTCCCCGTCCACAGATCCCGCTGGTGCCGCCGTTTCAAGTCATCTGCGGCCGCAAAACTATCGGAGGGAACCGAGTGGAACGAGCCTCGAAGCGTTCCTTCAATGTCGGCCGGCTCCGTTACGTTGGTGATTTAAAGAGCAGCACGAACGTGAAAAGGACTTAGTGTTGAAGCCCCGACCTGAAGGAGGCGCTCGCTCTCCTGCCGTGGTTCAGAACTCTGAGTTTATTCAATTAGAACTGCGAACACAGGATGTTCTGTTCTGTTAGATTTGGCCGGGTGGAGTCTGGACGTCGCCGGGTTTGTTAACAGAAAAATCACAAAAAATACAAAAGAGAAAAAAAGAGCCTGTTTCTACTGGCTGTGTGTCAGAAGGTGGCGCTGTAGGCTGCAGTAAACACAGCAGAAGAAGAAGAAGAACCTGAAAAACTTTAACCAATCATGAGTAAAATAGAGACGAGTCCTGAGGAGTTGTTTTCAATCTAAAGCCTGGTTCCAGCTCCATGAAGCTCATTAACTTTCTGCCAAATTCTGTTGCTGCTTCGATGAACTTTTTCTGAAACAAAACTTCAAAATGTTCAGAAAAATCTGTTGAAAATAGAAAAGTCCAGATTTGCTCCTTCATAATGCTGGTTCTTCCTGTTCTGACTCTTCAGGGTTCTGTGACTTCCTGTGTGGACCCGTCAACAAACCCAGACTCATCCAGACCACCAGGTGAGCGGCCCTCTGACCACCAGGTGAGCAGCCCTCTGACCACCAGGTGAGCAGCCCTCTGACCGCCAGGTGAGCGGCCCTCTGACCGCCAGGTGAGCGGCCCTCTGACCACCAGGTGAGCGGCCCTCTGACCACCAGGTGAGCAGCCCTCTGACCGCCAGGTGAGCGGCCCTCTGACCGCCAGGTGAGCAGCCCTCTGACCGCCAGGTGAGCAGCCCTCTGACGCCTCTGAGTAAAAGACAAACTGATGGTTGGTGTTAGAAGTGCTTCTGTGTTTGGGCAGGAGAGCGAGCGGCCGAGTCCAGGCGGCGTGTTTCAGGTACGGACTCGGCGGCAGCAGCAGGACTCGACGCTCAGCCGCTGGATCGAAACGCCTTCGACTCTGCACGCGGAGCTCGCTTCAGTTTGGGTGAGTTTGTTTGTTAATCTGAGACGGCGCAGCCGGGTGGAGCTTAACGAGCTCGGCAGTGTAAAATATAGTTTAAAAACAAAACTAAAAACCTACATTTGGTTCGTTTGTGCGTTTAACAGGAAAAAAACAAAACAAAAAGAAAAGAGGTTGTTGTTTGCGATCAGCAGGATCAACGTGGAGCTAAAACGGCTCCTGTCTGCCAGCAGCTGTAAAAGCAGAAACGTCAGCAGAGGAAGTTTCAAAGGATAAAAGTGGTCAGCTAATCGTAAGCTTCATAAAAATAAGTGAATCTACAACTTTTAACAGTTTTTAAACTAATGAATCTGTGACCTTTTAGAGTGAGAATTAAATTTTCCTTTTGTTTTGGGCAGCAAACTTTAAATTAAACCAAACAATCATAAAGAAGTCAGCGCTACTGGATGGATTCTGCACAAATAAGACGTCAGCAGTTAATAGATCAATTAAAATCCAAAGAGTCCAGCTGGGACCTTGTTTAGTGTAAAAAAAAAGTCTAAAAACCCAAATATTTTAATTCTCAATGAAGTGCAACTTCTCCTAAATGAATGTTTTATTTGATCAGTGGTTCCTTTGCTTCAGCACAGTTTCCTCCAGTAGCACTAATTCATCACTGACGTCATGCTGCTGCAGTGACTCTGTGCTAACGTTCAGTCAGGAGGAGGACAGGAAGCCGTTCTACCAGCTGAGACAAACCGAGACGGTCTCACTGCATTAAAGCTCCACATCAGCATCACTCAGGGCTGCAATTTATGACTCTGGAGCGAAAAAACAACATGTTATGTAAAAGGTCTGAGCGCCTGCCAGAAGTGCAGCTGCATGAAAAACACTCGAGTCGAAATTTAGCCAAAGTGGCCAAAAGTATGAGACGGAGTGAAGCAGCTGCAGCCAAACAAAGAGAGAAGCTGGATGTAGTGCCCAGATGTCAGAGCGACCTGGAGGAGAGCGAGTCCCTTTAAAACCAAATCAAATCAAATGTGCATGTTGTGGCATTTTAAAGCGACGCAGAGGAGAGCGATCGCTGTCGAAACCACAAGAAGCCTGAAAAGTTAGCTTCTGCTGTTGAAATACTTTATTGAGTGGCACCAAACGTCATGGCACGCTGCCAACTGTAAAAGCCTCAGCAGCTTCCTGAAGAGACGCTCAGCAGAGACGCTGCTGATTGTAACTCAACACGCTCCTAAAACGTCTCCGCTAACAAAAGAGGAAAATAGAAAATCACAAATCAACTGCTGATTAAACACTTAGATCATAGATACTGCACGTCGTCTTTTTGGTCAGTCGGTTTCTCTTGTTAATTATTATTCAAAGTAAAGATGAAACACTCCAGCTGGGTGAGCGCCTCTCTGGTGGCTGCTGTTAACTCTAAATGCTCTCAAACACTGCAAACTAGCCTCGCTGCGCTCTGAGGACGCGTTCGTCAGTACCGGTAGTGTCAGTGGTTCTGCTGTGGTTCCTAACGAAGCCGTCACATCGGACTTTTTAAAATGTATTTATTAGTGTAAAGCCATGAAAAGCTCTACAGCCGCTGTGGGAGGCTAACTCAGCACGGTTTAATATGCACACGAAAAAATGCTAAAGAAGACTGTGATGATGATGCCAATGGTAACCATGACAACGAGGCCTGCCGTCCTCTGACGTGTTTTTGTGTCCCGTCCAGCTAGCCGGTTGCTCTGCAGACGGTCCCGGTTACCTCCAGAACGGGCCGCTGGCTGTGCACACGGCGATGTCAGCCTCTTGGATTGGCGTTCGTCCTCCCAGCTGATGCCACAGTGCAGAGCGAGCGTCCCGGGTCGGGCCGTCGCTCTACTGTAAGGTGCTTCTGCTGCAGTGTGGACTCAGAGGATTTGAAACGGTCCTAATCCAGGAGGCTGGCACGCGACCTGCACACGTCTCAACCAATCCGAGCGGCGCTCCAGTGCAAAGCTCCGCCCGCAGGGAATAAAGCCTGGATACTTGTGTGAGCGTACTGGGCGGAGCCTGTGGCCGCCTTAAGCCCCTCCCCCTCTGCTGAGTGACAGTCTGTTGGGGATTTACCGCTGGCCGCTTCAGTCTCTCGACTGGTAGAACAGGATGTATCCTGATTCAGAGTTCTTGGAAATGTCCGATGTCAGACCGTAGAATTCCTCGATGGCCTGGGCATCGATTTTCTAGAAAGAGAAAGAGGTTGGACAGAGTCAGTAGGAACATGCTCCTGATGCTTTGATTAGATCTGTTAAGTCTTACGAAGCCTCCTATGACATTACAGGTGTAGGCGCCGTGGTTTGTTCCGTTTTGTCATCAAGCGTCTTTATTGATATGTGATGCTAACATGAAGGCAGCTGGACTTTGTTTCTTGACCCTGTTTAACTTCTCATCCTAAAGGTTTCTCCAGTATTCAAGCACTCATGTCTACCGGAGAAGGACGTCAGAGCTGCAGGTAAGTGTCTGATAAGTGACGTCTGGTTAGTGATTGTTGGACACAGACAGCTTCTAACAATCTGTCTTCTCTCTCCAGAACGTCCTCAGGTGAGCATCTCCTCCATCCAGATGCAGGTGGACCTACGAAGCAGGATTTGAGGTGACTTTTGGTTTAATCCTGAGTTTTCTGCTCACAGAAGCTGCCCCGGAGCAGGTTTTGTGTGAGAGAACAGATGAATGCATGTTGAAGCGCCACCTGTTGATTGATCAGTTATGTTGGAGGATGGCGTCGCTGCTCATAGGTGATCCCATGGAGCAGATGGAGGAGGGTCCCTCAGGACGGCAGCTGTTTCATTGGTCTGTGGGTCTTTGTATGGAGGTGTGATTCTAAAACAGACTGATGAAGGACTTGTGCTGGTTGACAAGTACATGCTTTAAGGTTTTCATCAGTCTCTGTTTTAGGATTATATTGCTGTTCAAAAGGCTTGTAGACAAATAACACAGAGTCTCCTGCCCTCCTAAGAGACCCTCTATGATTGGTTCTCTATGAACAGCGACGCCTTCCTCCAAGATAACTGATCAATCAACAGGTGGCGCTTTAACGTGCCTTCATCTGTTATCTTGGTTCTGTGTGCAGAAAATAAGAGATTAAATGGAGAGTCACATCAGACCCAGCCTCATAAGTGACTTGCTGGTAGCGGGGCTTGAACCCTCTACCTTCCACTCCAGAGCCCAACACCTTGAGCACTGAGCTACCCATGACCCCTACTGGTTTTCTGGGAACTTCTATTTGTTATTCGGTTTTCCCCCAGGCGTTGTTCCCCACCCTGTCCAGTGGGTGTCACCAGTTACAGCACAGGAGTCAGTGATGTGCTGGGTACGTCTTCTCTACAGATTGGACCCGTCTCTATTGGCAGCAGCTGGTCACGAGGCCGATAAGGACACATGGGCTGAGGTTGGTTCTGTTGGACGGGTAGCTGTTGTTTCCTTCCAATCGTCTGCTGCTTCCAAGGTGGTGGATTTGGATGAAGTGACTCAAGTATCCATGGTTTTATTCTGACATTGGTGGTAAACTCCTGGGAGCTAGCATGGTGGCTAGCAGTGTTTAGCAATGCTGGAAGTAACAGAGTTGATGCTGCTGATGGATCTGTGAATGTATCTTGGTGAGTCCATCAATGCAAGAAGCTGCTTCCCTGGAGTCCAAACAGCTTTATCGAGGCCATCAGTGTGTTTTTCCTCTTGAGTCAGTGTCTGATAGGAGGCTGTGGCGGCTCACCTTGGCATGAACCCTGCTGGGTTTTCTTTGCACCATTGTGATTCTTTACAGTGGGCCATCCTCTCCTGAGTGGTGGGACTGGTTTTGCACTGGTTGGCTGACACTTGGAGTCATTCTGCACGTGCCAGACTTGTGTTTTTGATGGCTGATTTTGTGACCATGAACCAGGTGTCTGTAGGAGACCTGATCACAGCCACAGAGTCAGCCATCAGAAAAACAACAAGTCGGCAGATTTATAGGCAGGACGACTCAGGTTGAAGGTGTCAGCCGTCCTCACCAGTGTGAAACCAGTCTGACCATCCAAGAGGGGAGGGCATCACCATACAGAGAGCACAACATCAACATCTAGCCGGCTGATGAAGGAAAACACACAGCAGGTTTCATGCCCAGGTGAGCCGCCACAGCCTCCCGTCAGACACTGACTCAAGAGGAAAAACACACTGATGGCCTCGAAAAAGCTGTTTGGACTCCAGGGAGGCAGCTTCTTGCATCGATGGACTCACCAAGATACATTCACAGATCCAACAGCATCAACTCTGTTCCTTTCAACATTGCTAAACACTGCTAGCCACCATGCTAGCTCCCAGGAGTTTACCACCAAGGTTAGAAAGAAAATCAAACTTAGATACAACCATGGCTACTCGAGTCACTCCACCATCATCTCCGCCGTGGAAGCAGCAGAGACTGTGAGGAAACTCCAGCACCCGTCCAACAGAACCAACCTCAGACCAGGTGTCCTCCTGCTGCCAAGAAGAGAGTCGGCTGATCTGCATGAAGACTCACCGAGTAGATCCCTGCTCTCCTCTACAGGACCCGCTGCCAGCCAGCAACAACGCCTGGGTCGGAACCAGAACACGAGAAGCACGTTAGACGCCTCAAAGTACACAGGAGACTCAGATCAGTGTTTACTCTTTAATGTGCAGCGTTTTGGCCAAAGAAGAGGTGGAAGACTGGAACAACCTGAGAGATGCAAACACCAGCAGGAGCCTCGATGCCGGAGCTCCTCACCACTCACAACTCAATAAAACTTTCAGATGAGAAATAAAACTTCAGCTGCCTTCATTTTAGCACTCAGATGCGGCTAACCCTGCCTCAGCCCTCTAACTACATGGTAAATGATTATCCTTTTAGCTTAACTGTTCCTTATCGAGCTACATACAATAAAACTAAGCTTGGGCTGCTGCCAGTGGAGATGTCGGACTTCCTATCATAACTTGATTTGTTGGGCGTCTACAGGCGTTTCCAAGAAAGCACACGATTATATTTAAATTATCACCAATCAAACCACATTCCAGCTTTCAGTTTTGTCTATTTATGTTGGATTATTACGAGTAAACAGCACTTGCTAACGTCTAAAGTGAGATAAAGTGATGGTACTTGGTCAGATGACAACACTGAACTGTAAAAGCACAACAAGCCCGTCTCCAGCTCACAGAAGTCACTGACGATACCAGAATATTTATCTGACAGCTCGGGTAGAAGTTTTGTTTTCACGTTCTGTTAAGTGCCGGATTTTAAAACGTGTTTGGATAAAACACAGTTCAGTTATTCTTGAGTCATATCTCCAGATGTTTTTGACCGTTAGTGCCTCTAACATTTCGGTTTCTAAGTTAATTTAGAATAACTTTGGTCATTTTCTATGTATGAACACATGACATACGGTTAAGGAGGTCTCAGCCTGTTGTGTGAAAGCTTCACTGAGGCATTTGTTTTTCATTTGCTACCAAATCTCCATTTAAAATCCAGCATGTTGTATTTCTGGTCCCCTGGTACCTTTAATTCTTTGTATTTCGTTTTGTTGTGTTTCCTAAGTCTCACTTTATTAAATCCATTATTGAATATAATCTGCTTTTGTTATTTATTGTCCTCTAAACTACCTCCATAAATAAGGACACACTGACGAGTAAACATCCCTGAAGGGAGACAACGGGGCGGAAAACAAACTGAAATGTGACGTTATTTGGTCGAGCGCTGACAGAAAACTGGCCTCGACTCCAGAACCAGTTCCAGGTGGACGGACCGACGGCGTGCTGACGAACGGACACACGGAGACTAAATTAACTCGTAGCAGAGGAGACGACTGGCAGAGGAAATCTCCACAAACCATAAAAAATGATAAGTTCGTGTTTCTGCTCTGCAAACTCAGCGGAATCTTGTGGCCCAGATGTTGGAGCGGGCCTCCGTCCCACCGTAGTGGAAAAACACGCATCGGGTTTAAACATCAGGCCGCGACGGAGCTGCAGTCTGACAGCGGGGTGACGTCTCTCGCTGCCGGGGAGGCTTCAAGTCAAATAAACCATTTGGATGAGGAAAACGTTCCTGAAGAAACAAACCCAGTGTGTGTGTTTGAGGTTTAATTTGGCCAAAGCAGAACTGGAACTAGACTGATGGATTTGTTCTGGACACAGATTTGGGCTGAGATGTTTTAAAAGTGACTGTAGCAGTGGTTACGACACGTTAAAATCTAACCGATGCCTCGATGACGGCGCAAACCGAACATTACAGGGATCATAAACGTGGACTTTATGGCAGAACAGGTGCGTTGGACTGCATTAAACTCGCCGGCTTCACCTCGTAGAGCGGACACAGAGCGTAGATGTGTGTTTTCCATCATCCCAGACAGTTATTGGGTTAAATTATATTGCTTTTAGGCATTTAAATGACACCATGAAGCAACATTTACATGAATATTTTTGGAATTTATTTACTGTAAAATGGAAATAAATGGAAACCAACAGCTGCCTGGAAGAACAGAAAAACTATGTAAATATCTAAAACTGCTCAGTATGTGTTAAAAATATTAGTAAAACTGTAAAATACACTTAAAGGAGAAAAACATGCAAACACTGATAACGTCCTTCTAACGGTAGCTTTATACTGACTACATGATAAGAACAACTGTGTGTTTGACCTGCCAGTCACATAAAAACCCTCGTCTGTCACGGCTATGCATCATTGTTGGAGTTTAACTGTAAACTAATCGAATCACTCAAGTTAGATGTCGGTGTATTATTATTATTATTATTATTATTATTATGATTCTGGTAAATGTTTAGCTGTAAACACGTATCTACAGATTGTGGATAATTCCTGTTTTATGGGTCTGTAACTCCACAATCATTTCATAGGACGACGATAATTTGGTACAATAATAAAGAGAGAAAGTCCAATTACGCAGCTTATTTTTAGTTCTTTCTAATTGCGTTGTGGCCTTTAGTCGGAGGCCTGCAGGTCGGCTTAAAGCGTCCAATAAATCTCCTGATAAATACACGCTGACCATCACACGGAGCGCCTCTTCCTCATGATTAGTCCTCAAATCATTTGCAGACAAACGACAGACCCCTAAAATGAGGCATTCTGGATTCCTTTTTTAGTTGCTAATTCTTTGTCCAATTAGTGGTCGGAGACTGAACAACAGTCAGTAAAAGTTAAACACAGAGCAGCAGCAGCAGCAGCAGAGTGACTCGAGGCTGAACAAACCCTGAGACGTTCTATCATCACCGCTGCTCCGCCGGTTAGCTGCTGATGGTTTGATTGCTGTGGCATACCGTTCTCTCTGGCACACACGAAGAAAAATAACTAACTGAAAGGTTACTTGGCGGCAGCTGAAAGCCGGCAGCGAGCCGAGGCTTTGGACGCGTACCGACTGGTGGTGGAGTGCCAGTGACTAAAGAGCTACATCATGCTGCTGGCTACCTTCTCCCTTCATACACTGCTATATGTCACAGAGACGCTGGCAGCTCTCCCCGTTTGGTTTGATGAATTATCACATCATCAGCGCTGACTGCGGCCCTGTCAGCCTCTCGCAGACTGAAGCTGGGAAAGCGTTCAGCGATCGCGCACGCCACGAGGATGTCAGACTGTTGTTTCTGTGTCGGCTGCCGTGTTTTCCCCTGCCGCCACATCAGACGGGAAAGCAGATGGTTGTGCGGCGGAGGCGGCAGGGGATCAGCGGAGCAGCGATTTCACGACAACCGAGATCATTGGAGCTGAAAAATGAAATCATTAGGCGCTCTATGAAAGTTAAAAATAACCAAAAAGTTTGGTGCAGGCTCAGCCTCCGTGTCGGCGTCACCTGCTCGCACACAGTAAATATTAAAAGGAAGACAGAGGGCTGGAGCTGACGGATGCTTTAGTTAAACTGGGATGATTAAAAGGGAAATGAAAGAGGATCGGCTCCAACATAAAGCAGCCGTTTCCTTTCTGCTGTTTTCTCTCCCCGTCGTCTCCTTAACGGACACTTTGATGTGCTCTTAGGCTCCTGTCCTGACCGCTGCACTCTACTTTATCTCCTGGTTATTTAACGCAGGTTGAGGTATTTAGGTCGGGGCGTCGCTGGAGCTCCAGACACAACACTGAGGATCTGCAGCGAGCCGGGAAGCTGGGCCGCTTCACATTCCTGTCTGAGAGCAACTTCTCAATGAGACGCATTTTAAGGCTACCGTTAAAGCTGGAAGCGTGACGGGTTGTTTAGTTTTTAACTGTGAGGTTTGTCTTATAAATTCACTCGAACACTTTTAGTTCAGAGAACGACTGAGACGATGATGCTTCTAGATTTAATCCTACTGTTCACTCTGATTATCATTGTTTTTAGCCTGCCTGGTTTTTTTTTATTCTGTATTTTTCTTTTTTGGTCTCTTGTTGAAACTTTTAATTTTATTGTTATTGTATTTTTTAAAATGAGGAACAACAAATAAAAACAGCTGTAATCATAAAACTGATTCACCTGAGGCCTAAACAGAAGAATTCCTCCAATTAATAGTTCAATAACAAAGTCTAGAGTTGAGTTTTTTCTACATTAGCATGAAATGAAAGCAGTTGAACACGACCCTGAACTTTCTGGTTAAGTTTTTAATTTGAAGGCATCTGAGTTCCTGTGCAGTGAGCCCTAGTTTAACTAATCTGAGCTGATTTAAACTCAACGTGGCTGTCAGAGAGAGAAGAGGCCTCCTTACCTCTACGATGTCGTCATCAAACAGCAGCCAGAAGCCGTGGCTCTTGACGATGGTGATGTAGTGTCCGCGGTTTGGACCGCTGAGGGGCACAAACACAGGAGGAACGTTAGGAAAACATCCCCAGAACGGCTTTACGTGAGCACTTTGCTTTCATCCCTGAGTAATGACATGACTTCAGCATCATTATTGTGACGAACGGCGGCGAAGAAACGGACAATAACCGCTTTAATGTGGAAAACGTTTCACTGCTGAGAGCTGACAGACTGTGGAGCTGCTGCCGTGTGGTTCTGAAGACGCTCCGTGGCTACGTGTGGAGCACAGCGCTAGTTTACATCTGCAGGTGGAATCAAGTGACGAATAACTTTCATGTGCTCGCTCACACACCAGCTGACGTCAGACAGCCTGAGGACGATCCCTGAATCACCACAAATGAGCTCAACGCTTGAACGCGACTCAAGCAAAACATCCAAACCTTCAGAGGTGCAGCAGAGCTACGTCCTCTCTGACGGCAGGAGGAGACAAGAGGAGCTAAAGGAGGGATGTTTCTAGTGATCTGTGCACTGTCCTCTGAAGATACCATCGGTTATATGGAGTCTACACACATCTCCAGTTATTTAATCACTGAACAGGTTTATGAAGATGTCAGTTTTAAAGTCATTAACGTGGATAATTAAATCCCTTAATTAGAAATATTTTTAGTAAATGCAGCGCTGGACGATTCCTCCTATAGGATTTCTAACCGGTTTTAACTACAGTTTTTATTTTCAGTGTAAATTCATTTTTTTTAAACTGAATCCTGTTTAAACCATTTTCAGGTTAATTCCACAAACTTTACATCTAATTTTTTATCCTCTATTTACGCTCTTGTCTTCACATTTTCTAACATTTTGTCTGATAATACTTGCAGATGTTTAAATAAAGGATGAAGAAACTGTATTTATGCGTCTCACCATAAAGTAATAATACCTAACAAACATAATTAGATATAAAAACAATAATAAACGCCACTTTGCACCTGAAGGATTTTGGAAATCTTAAGAACTGTATGAGCAGATCAAAGGTCTGCCGACATGTTTAGTTTTGCTAATCAGGGAGCTAAACAATGGATTTTTGAAGATTTATGGACATTTGAAGTAAAAATAAAATAAAATAAAATTCTGAAGAACACAAACTTCTACACAAAAACTAGTTGACATGCCTTCGTTTTTAAGTTTCACGTGTTGAATAAAAAGAGAACTTTTCAGCATTTATCCTTCAGTGTCGATGGCGCTAAACGACACTAAACATCAGATGTATTCATTGGTCAGGATGATAATCAGTCTAAAGCAGACACGTGCTGGTTATAGTTTTAAATATATTTAATGCCACGTGTCCGTTTCCATGACTACACCATATGTTAAACTGATTTAATTTGTCCTCTCCTAATAAATGCAAACACTCGCTGGAGGATCAATTTTGTCGCTAAATTACATGTAATTGTGATTAAGTGAGTAATTAAGTATGATTAGAGGAACGCTGGAGCTAAACGAAGCAACATCCACGTGTGTTGTCTTAATAAATCTGCTAATTAACAGAAAATCTGACCAAAACTAAACGAGCAAATGAAACCAAACTGATTTTTATGAGCTGTGATGCCGACGTTTGAAGCGGCTGCAGCTTCAGCAGCTCGGTCACAAGTCACCCAGCTTAAAAGACGAACCGACCTGCCACAGTGCACGACGACGGCCACCAGGTCGTACATGCGGTCGGGGTTGGTGGCGTCCCCGGACGTGTTGAAGAGGCGGAGCTCCAGCGGGAAGACGACGCGATAGGACAGTTTGGTGTAGCGGTGCAGCTGGTCCATGTACTTGAAGCGCTTCAGGTGGAGGGCGAGGATCATGGGCAGCTTCTTTACCCTCATCCTGGGACACAGACAGACAGACACGGACTGACTCAAGAGCTTCTGCAGCAAATAAGTATTTTAACTTAGAGAGAAACACATTTAAAACACAAAACACAGGCTTCTAAAACATCCGTGGACAAGACGAGCAGCAAGAGTCCATCCTGGACAAAACAGGGCTGAAAGCTTTCCAGGTTAATGCCACCACAGCTCCAGGCCTCCCACCAGCTACTTCAAGTGTGCTTCAGTGTGTTGCTCCTAATTTGGGCGAACCGTGGGCTCGTGCTCCCTCTGCTCCGTGTTAATGCTTTCAGGCTAATGGATGTGACTCGATGCACTCAGCTTGTATAAAAACACGCGCCGCAGACGGTTCAAGTGAAACTCAGGCAGCAGCAGCGTCCAGCGGCTCGACGCCTAATAACAGACCCGCTGGCAGATCGACGCCCATCTGAACTTCTCAGAATGCGACAGGAAGGCCCTGGCCGGTTGCTATAGTGACACCAGCTGTGGTTTCGGGGGTTCTTTCTAATGGAACAAGCTGCTGCCGCGTTCGTGTGAGAAACTCTCGAGCGGTTGTGTTGTAGCCGAGTGACGGTTACAGGCCGTGATAAACTCCCCTTCACTGCTATTTAGAGACACGTCCTCGCAGATAAAATATCTGTTTCGAAATTAGCTCAAGTGCCCTCGGTAGAGAGGCGTCAACGTCGATAAGTTCCTCTAACTTAGAGACTTGATCAGCGTCTGAAACCTACAGTCTAATAAACCAACACTCGCTACTTTAGCTCCATTAAATCAACTGTTTTATGCACATTTACAGGCTTATAGTTTAATTTTGGATCTACAACAATATGTTTAACCTGACTTTCTGTGAAAGAATAACTTTCAGACTGTTTTTATTCATTAACAAGTTCTTAATGGGCTCCTCTTTAAGTTCAGGATACTTTATAAAAGCATTTTTAAAATCACAACCAGCTGGTGATCATCCCAGTAAATACTGATTTTAATCAAACAAAATCCTTTAAATTCCAGAAGATGCACCGTCTCGAGTTCTTCACTTTGATTTCAGCCTAATTTAACAACAATAACAACACGGATGGATTCACAGAGCCGAGTCGTTGGACGTTAATCTTTACATAAACTACATCCAGTCTGTTGGATCCTTTAAGCACTGACTGGTCAAATATAAAACTACAACTGATACCTTCTCACTTAATGCAAATTTAAATTCTGAGTCTGGATTCTCTGATTCCAGCTTCTTAAGATGAAATATTTTCAGTTTTCTTTCCTCCTTTAGGACAGTAAATTGAACATCTTTGGGTTTTGGAAGACACAGATGAACCTTTTCTGACATGTTTCGGACCAAACAGCTGATCGATTAGCCGGAGAAACAATGAAGATCATCATTAGTTGCAGCCAAAGACGCAGGTTACATGAACGAAACAGGATCGTGTTGCTCGTTATGAGGCTGATGAATCGTAATGACCCAAGTTCATAAACGTTGGATGAACACCTCTACGTCTCTACACTGCTTCAGCTTACACAGGGTTTAGTCTCACAGAGGTTCTACTGGTACGAGGTCTGCACTTGGTGAAGTTTGGATGTTGGAATTGGTGGAAAAAGAAAAGAATTATCAGAAAGACTAATCTGACAGATGCTGATGAAGCGGCTCCACGGTGACGTCACCCACCTCTTCTGGGCTTCCTGTTTGCTGCGACACTGCTCACAGTAGTACTTGTATTCACTGCATAACGTCTCTGTGTTGCTGAAGCCCCTGTCGAGAAGAACAAACACAGGTTCACCAACAAAATCTTTCAGCAGAGACACAACCTCAGAAGTCCTCCAAGGTGTTTTTTCTACATCTTTCCCAATCAGATGAGAACAAACGAGCGGTTCTAAGAGCGACGGATAAGAGAGCAGCCGACCTGAGACAGTGTGTGATCGACGTGTTCTGCTCCACGTCCACCGACAGATCCAGGAAGTCCTCGTCTTTACTGCTCACCTGCACAAATAAAAGCACACGAAAAGGTAAAATAGGTTTTTAAACGTAGTTTCACGGATGGACGAATGTCCACCAGGTGAACAGGGACAGAAAAACGTGGACCGTCATGGTTACGACGACATCATTCTGCCATCGAAGGTTCTTGTTGGATTTACAGAACAAATACTGGGAAGTATTTTGGTTTCCTTTTACATCTGAAGTACAAAATTATAAATTCCTGAGAAAAACACATATTTTTTTAAACTAACTTCCATAAACAGACTATTTAACAGCAAAATAATTTGACTTTTTGAAGGTTTATACTTTTATATTTATTATAATACAAATAAAAACAAGTTAAATCTGATTTTAATCATCTTTTGGCCTGAAATGCAGTAAAAGTTGGCACATTATCCTGACTTTTCTAAGCAATTTAGTACCGACTGAGCGTCATTTTAGGGCCATTTTGGATCAGATATGATATTTTTTAACAGATTCCTGATAAAAATAAATGATTTAAAACTGTCTGAGTCTTGTCCCGCCCACAGCGCTATCTGATTGGTTAAATGCCACACGCAGGAGCCAATCAGCACGCTAAGATAAATGTTGAAAAGTTCGTGTTACTAAGCTTTGATACCGAGATTCTCACTGCTTTCAAATGTCTAATAATCGTATCAGCCCTGATAAAACACATCGGCTGAGCTCTGGGAGGTTCATCTAGCAGCACGGTTCTTCTCTAACATCACAACCAGTTCATTCTTTCCTGCTAACAGAACTGGAATTGGGTCCAGTAGCTGCGATTTATCGTCACTTTGACACAACAGGAGGAACAGAACGGGCCCATTAGGCAGCCTGTCGGGTTCCTGCAGCTGAAAGCCGCCTGATCATTTACTCCACAGTCACCAGGTCTCAGTCCAATCGAGGAATTAATCATTCATGACATCAGCGTGGACCAACGTCTCTGAGGGACGTCCCCAGCAGGTCCAGGTGTGGTTCAGGTGTATCTAGTGAAGCTGCCGGTGGGTTTATGTCATTAAAAACCGCCTCCAGGATGAGAAGACATCATTCTCAGACATTAACGAGCTGATGAGCACGTGACCCACTTACGGCTTCACAGTTGAGGCAGCGCGTCTCGTTGGTCAGCGTTCCTTGGAAGATCTCGTGGACCCAAGTCTGCTGCGTCTCCTTTCCACCTTCCCCCTCTCCTCCTCCTCCTCCTCCTCCACCTCCTCCTCCTCCTCCACCGTTCTGGACCAGCTTCCCGTTCTGCTGCCGCTCCTGACTCTTCTCCTCCTGCAGCAGGTCTGCGATGGTGTTGAGGAGGTAGTTGAGGAACTCGTGGGCGTCCTGCTGCATGTAGTTGTCAAACAGCTCTGAGAGGCAGAAAGAAACAAACACATATGAGGACACAGAGAGGTGGAAAGAGGGAGACAGATGTGGGGGAAAGGAGAGAACAGAAAATAAACAAAATCAGCAGGCGCTGGCAACCAGAAACTCAGCCAATTATAAGCTTTTCATCTGCTTGCCGCTGCATGATTTGGCCGACACTTCTATTCCCTCAGCTGTGAGATTAACTTCTCAGCTGAGATACCCCTCCCTGCCCCCTCTTTTTCCTCTTCTTTCCCGCCCCTCAACAATCTCAGCTGTGAGAGGAAGTTGGTTTCAAGCGGGCGGCCGATGAAAGAACATTTCCCAACACCTGGTGGAGGCTCTGACGTGAGCAGCAGCTGCACATTCTGGCAGAGCTGCGAAGGAACAGCTACATTACTCTCTGTCCTCAATCACCATTTTCTTTTCTCAGCCGTGAGATGAACTTCTTGGGAGGGATGACGCCGACTTTCTTCTTCTGCGTGGCGATGCTGTTGAACAGGTCGGCCAGACAGGTGAGGAGGGACTCCTTCCGACGAGGCTGCACCTGGAGGAGGAGGAGGAGGAGGAGAGACACTCGTCATCACACAAAGTCTTCAGCGGTCTGTGATCACGGCGAGGCTACGTGAACACGGACGTTTTATCTAATCTACAGAAGTGATACGACGAGCCACAGGATTTATGTTTCACTCATTAAGAAAGGAGGTAAAGGGCTTCACAAAGGGTTAAAAACAACCATAAACCAGAAAGCAAACATGTTGAAATCCACACAGAAATCACAGCTTTTCTTAAATACGAGTCGGTTTTAAGAGGAGACTTAGAAACAGTTATTGATTCATGAAGTCTAATCATCCCCAGCCTGAGATTGTAAAAGCAGCGCAGCACTTAGTGACCAATCAGAGTCTGGACACGAGCCAGAGGCCAACATCTGCTGACAGGAGCTGATGATGCCCAGGTTCACATGAGGTGAGCACAAGTCCGGTTTCATCAGACGTGTGCTGCTGCTGCTGCTGGGAAACATCCTCCTCATTCCTGAAGGCTTTTCTCTCACAACGGTGAAGCACAAAACGCTTCGATCAAAGTCGAGCTGCCGTCCAAGTTTAGTTTCAAGTGCAGCTAATTCAATCCCACATTCCCAAACTGTCCACTCCTCCTGAGCTCCTCCTCTAAACGCTGCTTCACAGAGAGTTTCAGGAGTCGTTTTCTTTTCATTTTCGCTCCTCTACAGCAGCAACAACTGCTGGATTCACATGGAGGAAGCGCTCACTGGTCTTCCTACACTTTTCTAGCAGCCATCTGCCACCAAAAAACCAAACGTTTCAGGCTTGTTTGGGGCAGCGCTGCTAGAAAGAGTTTCCCAGGGGCAACAACAGGAGCAGTCAGACGATGAGGCGGGTAGTAAACGTTCCTCAGGTTAGTCAGAGGGGGAAAAAAAAAGGGAACTGTTGTCAGAATATGATCCCAAATTAACTGCTTCTCTCTTTGCGCTGCTGTTCTTGTTTAGAGCAGAGGCTTAAAGTTAGATGATTAGTCGGGTTTAAGTCAGGCTTAGTTTGTCTGTCTTAACAACCAAAAACCTGGGCTGACACCAGCGCCGACCACAGCGAACAGTAAAGAAGAACGCTTCTGCAAATGAAAAATAAACCGGCTTGGTGCTGAAGAGGGAAATAAAAAGGAGTTCTGTCTTCTGGATTCTCTCTAATCTGGGCTCATTTAAACTTTTAGCAACTTTATGGATGTTCTTTACTAATTATTAAGGACGTCCCCCAAATATTTTCACATTAAATGAAGCTTTCCAACAGATTGAGTGTTTCTTTTAGATTTTTAGCTCCAAAGATGGTTCACTTCACCCTGACTGTGTCACTCATGGCTTTAGGGCTGAAAACCAATGAGCTGCTGCCGTTTCCAGCCCTTCACGATCAACATGCTGTTAGAACTGGACGACTATTAGTTAATTAACCGTATGGGACCTTTAACATGCGTCTCCAGGTTCACCACGAGGGGCCGGACCCGACCTCGACATGCGAGTGAACATGAACATCATTTACATTTATAAGGATCGCATCGGTAACCGGTGGGAGAGAAAAATGCACTTAGTGTGTTTAGTTTATTAGAAATTTAAAGAAGAAGAAATTCAAATATATTTCAATACCCAAGACTCCGTATGTCCTAAAGCCAGCGCTGTGGTCAATCCTGTGTTACGCTAAACACGCTTTAGCTGCAGACAGATGAAAGGAAACTGAAGCTAATGGGGGAAACGGACTCTGACACACCCGACGTTTCGTTTTCCATCTCTGACCAACCAGAGTTTTCCTGCGCATCAAGGGATCAGCTGCTCAGTTTGATGAAGCGGCTAAACTATTAGCATGTTAGCCTCTTGAGTGACTGTGTGACCGCTTGTTTGGATCTAATCCCAGATCTCAGCGATTACTCTGAGTGGCTGTTCACCAGAAGCGACGGCTCGAGGGATGAAAGTAGCCAAAAATATGATCATGCTTCTGTCACCAGCAGCAGCTTCTCACTCAAACCCAGGTGTGATGTGTCCCTGAAGTCGGGCTGATGTGGTATTTGTGGGGCGTTCTTTAAACGTGTAATGCTGCTGGTTGATGCAGCTGCAGAGTCCCTCTCATCACTCACCTTGTACGCCAGAACCTTCTCCCTGAACGGCCGACAGAAGTACAGAGCCTGCAGCACCGAGTTGCAGTAGCAGGTGTTGCCAAACTAGAAGGAGACAAACAAAGAGGAGATCAGAGGGTTGTTCTGACCGACTGCTTCGGACCGTTGTTACGTGTCACGTGTCCGCTGTACCGACACTTACGTTGACCAATCCAAAGTAGTGTTCATTTACGGGAAACTGTTCCGGTCCAATCTCCTTTTCCAAGGCAGAGGCATTGGCGCCCTGGAAGGCAGAAAACGAGACAAGATTAATGTTTCACTGGAACATTTTCACATCACTCAGTCAGGACGGACTTTGCGCTTCAAGACGCCAACGACAGCGGATGCACGGCGGTTTTTCTAATCGTGAAATTATTCATTACAGAACCTCCTTTGTCCTTCATTTCCTCCTCGTTGTTTTCTCGCTGCTGGATCGTCGACCATCTGTCTGCTGCAGCTGCGTTTCCTGCTTCGAGCCCTCCGTCTTCTACGTTCTGATTTTCTCCACACAGAGTTCAGCCTCATGTGTGCGTTTGTCTGAAGGTGTTTTAATGTCATCGAGTATGAAAACATCTGCTCATTGCTGAACACCACGTTTGTCCTTAAACATACAGAGCGTGCGTTCTGTGACAGGACGAGATTTAAAACTAGTTTAATTTGTGTTCCTGCAGAAATATGACAACGTTTGGTTCAGGTTTTATAAATGTTGTCCCTCCGTTTAAAGCTTAATCATTACAGGCGTCCAGTTAATTAATGAGGCTACAAAAGCCCCAAACCGTCCATCCTGCTGTTGTGACACACAGACGGCGCATGACGAGCTATTAAAGGCCACTTCCTGGTTTTGCTGTACAATCCAACGGCACCCAAAAACCCCCAGACCTGCTCTGGTGGTTCAGGCTCAACACAACGCCGAGCTGAGAGGAAACGTGGCGATCTGAGGGCTTCATCGGAGGCACGACGACTGAAACATGAGTCTATACAGAGAATCAACAACCACAAAAAGTCTCACTGAAAACACATCACAACGCTTTTATCTTCCACAGCTCAATAAACCAGAGAAGTCCAACAGAACATCATTCACTGAAACGTAACGGCAAAACATTTCAGCAACACAAAGGCTGACGTGAACCGAGAGCAGCTGGAGCGATTATTTAAACCGTCACCACAAACGGAGCAGCTCGGGTCATCGGGTTGAATTAAATCAACTGTAGAAAAGCAAAATATCCTAAAGTCACATTTTTCTGATATCTCACAACCCGACTGCAGCTAAAACGTACGGGTCTGCTGCTACAGAAAAGACGAGCGAATAAAACGAGTCAGAAAATCTAAGAATTCACCAAAGTCTGTTTTATTCCTCCGTTGTTCTCGTGCTCCGTCACCAGCACCAGAAATCAGATTAATATGATCCCGTTGGGTCTGTCGTTATCATTTGAGCACAAAATAATCTGGTTGAAATTATTTATTCAGCTGCAAATATGAGCTTTTTACCTGTAATAAAACCAGCAGGTAGATTCATTAACATTTAGTTCATCTAGAAGAAATATTCTTATTTTGTTTTGAAGACCATCAGCTGAGAGTTTCTTTGGTTGACAGCAGCCCTAAAAATTAATAAAATTGTGTGTTTGCAAATAGAAAATTAATTATTTACAAGCGTCTGGTTGCAGAAATGTGGAAATCTTTAAAACTACAGTGTCTAAATAAAACATTATACACAAAAAAATAACAACATTCCTGCAACGAGCCGTTGGGTCATCAGAGCGTTGTGTGTTTGGTCTGAGCCTCTGACTGGGCGTTAAAGGAAGGAACGAGGAATGAAGATGATGTCGTTCACACTCGTCCTCACAATGCATAAAGTCAACAAGAGACAAACGCCTATTGATCCACCAAACACGAGAACAAGCTGAGACGGAGGCGGCGGGGCAGGAGAGGGGGAAGCGTTCACTCTGAAAACTTTCATTAATTCACTGTCTCAGAGCCGGTTTGAAGCGACACCTTCTGCTTCCTGAACCGATGGAAATGAAAGTGAACTTTGCAGCACGAAGCGCTCGTAAGACAGCGGTGGAAAGCAGCAGGGCTCTGATCACGTTTATTATCGGTGACAGTCGAGAGGAAGCCGTAAGCGGAGCGACTCTGCTGCTTTTATTGTCACGCAGAGCCGAAACACAGACACCAAAACAAACACCAACGTGTTCCTCCAGAAAGCGTCTGTTTCAAGCAACAGGCTGAACGGAGACGGCCTGAAATCAGCTGAGCTCTGATCTGAAGCTCCACAGCAGACAGGAAATGGATCTGCGCCGCCGTTTCCAGGGAAGAGGAGGAAGTTTCAGCCTCGACTTTTAGAAAAAGGTTAATTTAGACATCTGCACGGCAACTCAGCTGGATTCAAACCTCGGCGCATGAGATGAAGGAACACAAACAAGCACTTGACCTCCAGCTGGACGTCCAGGAGCTGCACAACATGCAATGCAGCAACAGACATCACATGAGCAAAGGAAAAGCAGAAATCATCACTGCGACTAAAACCGAGGCTCATCACGCAGTCACAAAGTCAACTTTTGCACAACTTCAGCCTTCATTTCAAACCTCATACCAACACAATGCAACGCTAGAAGATTCACATTAAAGTCCTTTTTCTGTAAAGTTAAATATCAGAATTCAACAGAGGAACAGAGAGAGAGGAGTTACTGCATCTGTAAAACACTCTAACACGGGCAAAACCTAGATTTAAATGAGTGATCTGCTCCTGATTTAACTCTAAACTTAATAAATCTACAACACGATCACATCAAAAGGACAGCAGTGGACCTGGGCAGACATTCAGTGGCAGCTTTAACACATTTCAGGAATCCAAACTTAAATGACTGTTGCAGTAATAACATCACAGTTAAATGACTGAACGCTATCCGGGTGAGGATTTCTCCTCCAGTTTGTCACATTGCTCCAAACATTTTCCACATTTTTCAGCATCACCGTCCTCCAACGTCACTGATGCTGAACATTTCATTCCCGCGTTTCCCGGCTCGGCGGTTTTTTGTTTTGTGACTTTCACGGCTTCGACGGCCAAATTGATTTTCCCAAAAAGCAAACATCTTTCCAGAGAGCCCAGCAGACTGAACAAACCGGCTGCTGGTGTTCGGCCCGGCCCGTGTTTGTGCAGAAGCTGCAGCCTCCACACTGAAGTGGGCTACAGAGCCGATGTGTGGTCGACAAAACAGCCGAAGCAGCAGCAGCCTAAGTCGGAGCTTTCAACACACAGCAGCAGCAGCAGACCTGTGAGGCATCTGGCCGGCCGGCTGTCGGCTCTGGAGGTGGAAGCAGGAGAAGTTAATCTTCTGGCTTTACGCTGAACCGTGTTCGACCTTTTCACCCCGAGTCAACCTGCTGCACCAGGAGGACCCAGCAGGAGGTCCGAGTCTGACCTCTGACCTCACTGAAAGTCTAGCACAAGAATCGATAGCGTGTCGGGTTGTCGAGGCGCCGAAAAGCCACTTCAGGGCCAGAATCGGATCATTTAGCTACTAAAAAGCAGAATGTGAGCAGAACTACGTACAGGCTGAAATAAAACATGGACAATGAGACACAAACACAGAACAGCAACACATCTATCACACATCAGGCTCAAGAAAACTCACAAGTTCTCCTGTTCTGTGACTAATAATCAGGAAAAATCCGCCTGACAGAAGCAGAACCGATCCACCGGGTCTGTTCATCCACATGTGCACAGAAACAGAGAGTTACCGAAACAAGGAAAAGAAATGTGACACACCTGATACACACAGCTGCTGACAAACCAAACAACACAACTGCTCTGACCGTGTCAATCAGAACCACAAAGCTCGGACCACAAAACAAAACCAGTTTGGATCATTTTCAGCTTTTTTATAAATAGTTTTTCATCTTCTATTTAAATCCACTTCCCGTCCAGGTCCCCCGTTCATTCTAGAGTGATTCATTCTTTCCACATAGAGTTATTCAACTCAACTAGCGAACCTTTCTGTCTGGTTCCGATCAGAAAACACAAACATCAGTTTTTCCTGAGTGTCTGAAGCTGCTGCTTTTCTGGATCTCACCCTGAAATCACAGCTCAGGCATCAATAAGGTGTCATATTGTCAAAAACGTCCAGTTCACCTGGTTGAAGGCACCATGCTGACCCGGACCCGGACCCTCTGGACTCGGCCAGCAGCTCTACGGCAGCCGGACGTGGTCAAACAAGATAAAACCGTTCAAACGGCTCAGAGGAAGAAAACTGCAGAGTCACAGCGACCAAACTCTTCCTGTCACTTGTCCTCTAATTACCTTCACAACATCCCCCCCTGTGTTCCGCTGGAGCTCAGTTCTGCCCGTTCAGAACCTGGACCGGACCGGAGTCCAGCAGGACCGGAAACACTCAGCCGCTGATGGGACTCAGCTGCGGGACTCACGCCGCCGCCGCTCCGCTAATTAACCGCCTGAACTCAGCAGCTGTGCCGCTGAGGAGCACAAACGTGTGATTTGATGGGATTTCCAGCCGATGGGGTCCAACTTGAAGCGGATCAAGTGTTCGGACGCGCAGCTGCACCGGGCGGGCTAGCAGGCTAAGCTAGCTGGTAGCGACCGTCGGTCAACCCTGCCCTTCTCACATAAACAAACTACCAGCCAAGCGAAGCGGCTAATAAACTGTCAGACCCGCTCGGTTCGAGCACAGAGCCGCTCCGTTACTGGTCCAAACCCTGGTGTGAGCAGAGCCGGAGGGCTGCTGGTACCAGGCGGAGCTGTACAACTTTGTGGGAACCCCGTGTGTGTTTTTATCATGTTGTTAGCAGGCAGGCTAGCAGCGCAGCTAGCTTAGCGTCCAGGCTCCGGGAGCCCGGAGCCCGGACAGCGGCGCTAACAGCCGCGACACGGCCGAACCGGAGCTACTCACCATCGTACAAATCGAGGCGATCTTTCGGACTGTCATCAGTATTTCCATCCGTAAGCCGCCATGTTGGACCGAACCCCGATGTTGAAATAATCAGAGCCGCTGCGGCTGTAGAGTTCCGGGAGAGCCGTCTGCCCCTGACTGACTGAACCGTCCAGCTGCACCGCGGCACGGCGAGCAGCTCCGGCGGGGCGTTTCACAATAAAAGCCTGATCGAAGTAGAGCTGAAAATGTCACAAGAAAATGCGTCATTACTCAAATTATTGATCATTTTATTGATCATTTTATTGATCTATTTTTAGTGGAGAACCAGAATGATTTAAATTTAACCACCTCAGTCAATAAACTTCACTGTAGGGCGACTGATCTTTGAAATTAAATGTAAAGAAAAATTCCATAAAAAATAAAATAATAAGAATAAAAAATTAAATTGTGTCAGTAAGGCCAGAAAAAAATATTTTTAAAAAATTAAGAAAAATAGATTTGATTAGTGTAATGTGCAGAAGCTGTTAATAACAGCAAATATATGTTAAATTATTGTGTTTTTTTGCTGATTTACTTAAATAGTGTGATTTTATGCTCACATTCTGTAACAAATACAGGGTAAAAACACAAAAGTACAGTTTAGACCTGTTTTGTTTTTTGCTGTAAATAATTGTATATTTTCTGTGACTCTGTAAAATATTATCTGTAATTTAACGAAGCAAGAAAAATCTGTGAAATAAGTTTCTGAAAAATTTTCCATTTTTCTGTTCTTAATATACATAACAGCAAATATCTGTCCCAATATTTTTAGTTTCATAGTTTTTATAATTTAAATGAATTTTTACAATACAGATTTTTAAGTAGACATTTTTCCCCACAGTTTGATGCATTTTACATTTTTTTTAATCTGTGATTTTACTAAATACTTTTCTATTTGTTTCCTCATTTTTGTCTTGCCTGTCAAAGCACTTCAGAAATTCTGACTTTTAAAGCTGTTCTATAAATAACAGTTATTATTAATAACACAGATTACAGTACATAGTTTATATATTTGTGTAATTTACGTCAGATTTATATTGCTGTCTGTCAATAAAGAAGAATCATTTAGGAGGTCATGTGTTATTTTGAAGATTTGATCATGTGGCTTCCGGTGCTGCCGGTGATTTCTGTGCGTAACTTTACATCTGCCGCCGTCCAGCCTCGGAGCTTCGAGGGAGTCAACCAGCACAACTCGCTGAGGTCACTTTGGTTCCTCGCACGGGGCTGCAGGCGGCGGGCGGTGCTTCCTGCTGCTGACAGACTGGCGCCTCCTCCTCTGTGTTCGATTCACTAACCGAGTACATTTACTCCAAAACTGTTTTTAAAAACGACGCTGAGGTACCTGGACTTGTTTTTCATGTTGTACTTGACAGCTTTAGTTGCTTTACAAATAAAACCACCACAAAAAAACATGTAGATTAAACAACCCAACAGCACCCATGCACTCACAGTACTCCTTTTTTAATTTTCTTTTTTTTAATCAACTGAGTTCCCAAAAACAAAGTGTCAACTATTTTGATCATGCAAGAACAAAAAACAAAATAATTTCATGACTCCATCTGGTCAAATATGTGAATTTTTCCTATTTAGTTCCAATAATTTTAATAAAATATCTACGTTTTTGTTTTTTAAAATTAGGAACCAACTGATTATTTGAATGTTAAATAAATGTTGAAATGTTTTCTTCTAATTAAACGTATGTCAAATAAACATAAAGACATTTCAACAAAGTTCTGTGCTGTCGTCTGTGACATTTTAAATTTTGACATCAAGACTTTTATTTATATTTATCTGATTATCGTACAGTTTAATCAATAATGACTTACAGCAGCAGTAAAACAGTTTACAGATGAATGTATTTGTAAAAATAAATAGTTTAACATCCACAGAGACGTTTATTCTGCACTGAGTACTTTCACTTTAATACTACGAGTGCATTTAAACGATTATACCTGCACACTTTATCTAAAATAATAATTAAATGCAGTTTTTAACTTGTAGTGGAGTATTTTCACTGAGTTGTATTAGTTGTGTTTAATAAGACTGAACATCTCCTCCAGTCACTGACCCATAAATTGTCCAGATTAAGTTTTCAAACACTTTCTCAGAATCACGTCTGTAAACTGACGTCATCTCACAGCTACCATCAGTTCTAGTTTCAGTCTTTTACACACTTTAAACAGTTTCTGGTGACAGAATGTCCACATGTTTGGTGTTTACATCACATGACCTCTGCTTCCCTTCAGAAAATAAAAGTTTACTTTTACAAATCAAAACATTTTAGGAACTTCTCTTTAGTTTTTTCAACCCAAGATAAATGTTTCACAGCACATGCTGTATTTAAACTATAGAAAAATCAATAATCCTCATAAATACATAAAATAAAATTTAAAAAAGTCTTTCAAATTCAAAATGACAGAAAAAATAATAATTTCGATTTTGTTTTTCATATAAAATAATTAATTGCTTTGCTAAACAGACATAAAGTCTGGAAAGATTTATTTATCTATTTTAATAATTTAATGTAAGTAACCTGCAAAATAACAATATTATTTGCTAAATTAAATAGAATAAAAAAAAATGTGTAATATAAAATAATTTCACAGTCAAAAATTGTAAAAAATGTAAATTAAAATAGCAATTGTACAAAAACACCTTTTTTTGTGGACATAATTTACAGTTTTAATTTTTTTCTTTTTTTACAGTTAACATGTAAATATTTTATTTTTTGTGATTTTAATCGCTATTATCTGCAATTTAATAAAACAGGGGAATCAGTAGATTTGCAGTAAAGTGCTAATAAATGAATAAATAAACAAACAAACAAACAAATAAAATATAACACTACAAACTACAAAAAAAAAGAAAAAAAAAGAGGGAATCAGTGAACTGGGGAAAGTCAGATGTGAATCGGGCACTAATGGGCTTCCATAGCCACCGTGACGCTCAGCAGGACTTTAAAACTTGTTGTTACGACTAATTATTATAATTATTATTACCATCATCACCTTAAACCTTAATGAGCTGCTTTATTGGCCCCAGCAGGCCTGAGTCCAGGCCGGAGGAGCTCGACCCGGTTCGGACCGTTCACACTGGTCTCCCGGGACTCCGGAGGACGGTCCGGGCGGCTTCGTCCTCTCCGCCTCTTTGTGCGCTCACAGGCGAGCGGACGCGCTGCGGAGCGGACGGAACCTTTATCAGGGTCAGAGTGGGACAGAACCGGGATAGATCAACCGACAGACCCACGGAGGAGACAGAACCGGTCCGTCAGAGGAAGAAAAGTCGAACTGGAAAAGAATTCTGGACTGGAGCTCTGGCTGGTCTTCGGTGGTTCTCCTTTAGGTCTGCAGAGTCCGGGCTGCAGCTCCACACGATGGGAGCCCGGGACTGAGTCCTGCTCTGGGTCCTGCTCTGGTCCTGCTCTGGTCCTGCTCTGGTTCTGCTCTGGGTTCTGCTCTGGGTTCTGCTCTGGTTCCGGAGCTCGATGCGGCCGGCTGCGGACTGCGCACCGGGAACCATGAACAGCGGCGGCTCGGGTAACTTTCTGCTGGTTCCGATCCCGGAGTTTCCTCTGTTGGACTGCGTCCCCAACAAGACGGTGAAGATCGTGGTTCTGGGAGCCAGCAACGTCGGCAAAACCGGTACGGCCGGAGCGATCGGAACCAGAATCTGCTGCGAAAAACTCAGATGAAGGTTTTTAGTGAAGCTGATTAGAACCAAACAGGAAACATGTCGGCTGGGACTTAACATCCCATAATAACATGATATAGTCGTGATTAGTGCAACTTGTTGTCTTTAGAATTAACTTCTATAAAACATAAAAAAGCCAAAATATTAGAAATGAAGAAGCTACGGTGGCCGGCAGGGGGCGACAGATCGCGCTGTTGCATAAGCAAATATGAATATTTTCAACAGTTTTAAAGCTTTTAATCGATAAAAACAGCGACGGAGCAGAAATTAAACCGTTTATTTAAGTAACAGTGCAGTTTAAAACATACTTAACCACAAGTTAAAGTCATGCATTCTTTATTTTAATCGAGTAACAGCCATGAAATGTACCGAGAGCCTCAAAGAATTGGTGTCAAACTCCCTTTTTCGCCCACATTCATGTGTGTTGTTCTTGTTGTTGATGCTTCAGTGTGTCTGCAGTGTTTAGTGAAGCTACAGTTCAAGGTGGAGCTGATTTAAAAGTAATCGTCGGCATAATTCAGCTTAAAGAAGAAGCTGAATTTAAATCATTTAGAATCCGGTGGGAGAACGAACACGTCTAATGAGAGTAACGAGGGTCCGTTTAGTATTTTAATGATGTTCCAGGTTGAGGTGGAGCACGAGTGTGAAGTTTAACAGAGAATAAAACATCTTTTAATCAGGTTTTGGACGAAGCTTTAGAAGCCAGCGACGTGATGAATGGATGTAAATGTAATGAGTGACTGATGGCCTGGGTTCAGTCGACAGGTTCAGGCCTCTGACTGGTCAACACGAGGCTTCATGAATGATCACAGGCTCGTCTGCTCTGATCTCAGTCAGACTAAACACACCAGTGGGTCTGGCTGTGAGCGGACCGCTCGTCTGAGCGCGCTCACAGGACGATTTATCATTTGTAATAAACCTCGAGGAGCAATCGCGGCCAGAGTTCAACACCAGCCGACGGATTCCTCGGGTCGCTGAGGAGCCCCGAGGATGGAACCGTGATTTAACATCTAAGAAGCTCCTGGTGTCTCCTTTAACAAGCAGGCGGAAGCAGCTCCTCGTAAATCGGCTCCGCTAAACAATTTACATATCTGCAGGAATAAAGGCCTCCTAAATTAGAGCATCTGTGGACGTTCATCTGCGTTTAAGTGCTTCAAGAGGAGTTTTAACATCTGAGCAGGCGCTTAAATCAGGTCAGGAGGAGAAGCTTCACCCACAGAGTGAAGGAGAAGCCTTCAAGGTTATCGAGCAGCACCTGGTGGGAAACAGATGGAAAAAGAATGGAGGCTTGAAAACACTTTGCAGAGACGTGATGGCGTCGAAACAACCGTCCTGTGTCAAACTGTTGATGTTTTGTTAGAAAGGAAACAGTATTTAGCTCAACAGTGATGTCACGACGTCGCTCATATTTTAGCTGCTTTCAGTTTTAAACATTAAGCAGGTGAAGGTAACCGAGGAACAAACACCATTATTCACCAAAAATGTACAACTTTCACATAAAACAGAAGATAAATGACATTTATATCTAAAAAAAAAACCTGCGTCCAGCCTCTATCTGGAGGTTATCTTGTGATATTTTACGTGAAATTCCATTTTAGTGATTTCCCTGAATGCCGTTTTTAACATTTAGAAGATAAAGAAACAGGAAAGTCCACAAGAGAAGCGTCCAACATCAACCTCGAAACGCTCGATTCTTCCTCATTTGCTTCCAGTAAAAACACGACGTCCTTCTCAGGAGCAGATCTACAATCACATCCTCATCGGGACGTTATTTCTTCAAGCTCGCAGACTATTTTTAAATCACTCGAGTTGCCTTTTGTTGAGCAAAATCCAACAAAAACAACAGATGCATAAAATAAAAACAGCGTCCAGAAGCCAAACACCAAGAGGTGGACAAAGCAACGATTCACCGACACGAGACGCCAGATTCTGGGTTTGTGCAGCTCGTCTAACAGATTCCTAAACATCCTAAATATGTGTCGAGGTAAAGAGAGATTCCAGCAGCAGAGTGGGCGTTATGTAGGTCAGTGGGCTGCAGCAGGTCGGAGGGTTTAAGTTCCTTGTTTGCATCCACGACTCTGTTTGTTTGCAGCTCTGATCGTCCGGTTTCTCACCAAGAGGTTCATCGGAGATTATGAAGCCAACACAGGTGAGTTTCTGTCCATCTGACTTGTAGAAGAAACACCATCCATCCATCCATCCATCCATCCATCCACCCATCCATCCATCCATCCATCCATCCATCCATCCATCCATCCATCC